CAGTTTCCCTTTTCGAAAAGGGAAACTGCTTAGTTGTCGAGAATTAAAAATAAACTCACACTCGCTTTTATGGTTTGTAGTTGTCGGTCTTGGAGATTTTATTATGCTTCGTTGTGGTAGAACTACTTTTCAAAGGTTTCTGTGCGAAAATAGCTTTGGGAAATTGCATTAAAAATTAACTGATTTCTTCCGGAAAAATAAAAACACGTTTCAGACGTGCGAGATAAGTTTTGTTTCGTCGATTGGCGTCGGAGGTTATTAAGATTTTATGATGAACCACATATGAAATTTCGCGTCAACTTCTGTGGGAAGTTTTGACATATTAAAGACTAAAATTTGTAGCATTGTTTAAGAATAAGTCCATGATTGCCGATCTGTGAAGATGAAGAAAATTATCAGAGATTTGAAGTACGACGCGATGTTAAAATGTGATATTGGAATACCTGGTAAATGTAAGGGTGTTTTTATTGACAAATTCTTAAAACATAGAAAAAAAGGTAACTTCATTTTGTTTTATTTGTATGCTAGCTGAAGTTAGTCGGTCATCTTTTTTAGCAAGATGGCCTTATTTATTCTTAATTCATGCGATAATTTTATTATGTCCATGCCATAATTGTATTATCGGCTAGCTTGTTGCTTCTGATCAGTTGGCGCGGGGCCCTAATCGAGTTTGCATTTATATCTCGGCTTTATTTCGTGATTTCTGTTATCTCATAATTTGGCGTTGTTTTAGTCTTTTAAATCGAGCTTTTCTTTTGTTAGTTTGTATATAATCTTTGTAGAGGGTCAAAGAGGGACAAGGCTTATAGCATATCAATAGCTTTCTAGCTTGCTGAGCGTTTTTAAGAAGGATCGATAAGACATTTAGTCTATACAGACTGTTAATGACGCGGTTGATTTTTAATGAATGCAGGTGAACTTAATTAAAAAAAGTCGCACTATAACATAGCCGGAATGAGGAGTTGCACTTCTCTTAGGATGTAAACACAAAGATGAGAATAAATGGAAAAGTGACCTCGTTGGGGTGTTAACTTAATGAAATCTTACCATTTCAACTCACTAACTTGAAATGAAAATTGGCTGTGATTTGCTCGGAGTCAAACAAAAGGGAACTCTTAATGACTAGTATTTCTTCTTCCTAGTTTATTTCCTTAGTTAATCATACCCAGAGAAATTAAAAATACACAGAGATAAGTGGCATTAGTTTGGTTTTCACTGAGTGTTAAGAGCTCAAGGGAAACTTGAAGTATCTTGCTAAGAATTTAAAACATCGTTAAACTGATCAGCGAGGCTTAAGAGCTGAAAACCGCGAACTGACTCAACTGATTAGTGCGGCTACATAAACCACAGAGTTTTGCCTTCATGAGTTATAAGAGAAAAGTACTTGTATTAATAAAGGAAATCTCGCGATTACATTCTCGAGACAAAGAGCTGACGGTAAATAAAAGCGATTTAATTTCCGCGTTATCCGTGGACGTTGGCTCTCTCGAGCAATGCCTGAGACACTTCGTCCTGACATCGTAAACGCACTGTTTGGCTTCTATAGTGAACCTGATCGTCTTCTCTAACATCTTCACCCCTTTGAGCCTTAATTTCTAGCATCTCGGCATAATAACGCTGCCAGGACTTGCGAAACTCCGTGAAGAGCACAGGAGTAAAACAAAACATGGCCACAGTACCGCCTATGCAACAGAACGTGCCCACCAGTTTTCCCCACGCTGAAGTCGGAACATAATCTCCATAACCAACACTTGACAGTGTTATTATCGTAAACCAAAACGTCGCTGGTATGCTGGTAAATTGCGAGCTTTCCCCCTCGCCCTCGGAAAAATACACGAAACTGGAGAGCAAAACGGTGTTGAATACGATGCACAGGACGAACAAGCTCATGTGCTCACGACTGTCTATGATTGTTTCAAATAACAATCGTATACCTACGCTGTATCGCTTCAATCTGAGCAATCTCACCAAGCGAAGTACGCGCAGAACTGGATAAGGTACCACACTGCTCGCTTTTTGATCTGTAACGCTCTGAACGATGATTTTAACATACAGAGGCGACAACGCCGTAATGTCGACGAGAGTACTAAACGACAGGACGAATTTTGCGATCTTCGGCGCGCACAAGAAACGCAGGAGAAATTCTACGCTGAACCAGATTGTAAAAACGACTTCAACGGCAGACCAAACAATGTCATAATCCACCGTGATTTCCTCCGTAGTTGCATTTCCTCGCTGAATTTGAAACTGGCTCTGTTTTATCGTTGGTAAAGTTTCCAGGCATAAAGAAACCATTGATAAAACGGTCAGTATCAGAGAAAACTTAGTGTAGGTTCGTTCGGCCGGGGTTATGGGCTGTTCAAAAAACCTCCACACGTTTCTACGGGCTCTCCTGATTTTTCGCACGCAAGGTAAACTCTCCGCTGCTCTTCGTCTCGTTTCTGCAAGTTCAGCAGAGAGCTCATCTTCGGAGTCCTCGAAATAGCCATCGAGTTGGAAGAACTTCAGCTCCGACGAAAATATCTCGTAAGAGACGGTTTCGGGTTTTGAAAGTATGCCGTTTGACTGATAATAGAACAATATCGAGTTAAAAACTGCCTTATCTCTGTCAAAATAATACTCTCTCCTGATAGGATTGTAGAAGCGTCTTCGTTTAGTTTGAGAGCCGAGCAGAGTTTTCGGAAAACGAGACAAAGTGTGTTCGTATGTCTCGAACTTCTCGCCACGAACGTTTATCAGGACTTTCTGTCGGCGCACAATGTTTTGCCCGTTCTCTGACTTGGCATGTTCCAAAACATTAAATTGAGAGCGTATTGACATCCTCTGATAACAATGAACAATGATAGCGCAATCTTCACCCTGCCGTTAGAAACCAAAGACTTTTTCAAAGGGATACGTCAGTTTACATTGGATGTGATAGTGTCGATTTAGCTCGCACTGCCGATCCAATTTCGTCTTCACATGAAACACAATTATCCCTAACATGAGAGTTTGCGAAGTTATGACTCTTTTTGTAAGTCAATTTGACTTTCTATTTGTTGAATACGATAAATAATTAAGCGACGAACGAACATTTATTTGAAATGGCCAGATGTTTCGGTCGCGTTTTCTAACATTGTATGAAAAAACAACACTGAATTCTTGTGGCTGGTACATAACAACGTGAAGGAAAGTTAAGCCTTTATTCCAACGAATGCTTGAGCGATATTTTAATCCTGTTACAAAAAAAATGTTGACAATTTTCAAAGATTTTCGAACTATTTTCTCTTTGTGAGGCAGGAAGTCTTCGCAAGTAAAATATTAAATTATGCATTGTAAATAAATTTCTGGCTGCCCCCCTGTTGCTTGTTGGAAATCTCACTTGTTAAAGCTGATACGAAATCCGGGAACGCCGAGAAAAGTCAAACAATTTAGCCCAATCTCAGGAATCGCAATTCGAGAGATTTTTTTCCACTCTCGACCCCCGCAGGAATATTAAAAATCAACCCACAATGTTTGCCGTTTTTCGTTTGGCGGTCTTTCCAAGGCATATGGGTGTTTTCTAACTTAATTAACAACGAAGAAAGTTTTTAACATTCTTCGAACAATCGTAATATGCTTGTCGATTAAAAAAGTGATAATCTCAGGGAATCCCGTATTTTTTTTACTGTTATTTTTAAGAGAGATCAACGGTGATTTTAGTTTCTCTATCTCTGTGCGGTCTGCGGGCGAATCGATAATTTGAAACATTGTTAGATATTCAAAGGCAAAGCGCCTTAAGTCTTCCCACTGGCGAAGATTAATAAATGACTTCGAAATGTTGACAATTGAAGAATAATCTCTTACTGCGAGAGGAAATAAAACAACTAGTTATGTAATTGTTCAGAGCTTTAAAACGCTTTTGTGGTGATTGACGTGTTTTCAAAATAAAATTCAAGCCGGTTGCAGACGTTAATTTTTTACTGTGGAAAGATTCTCCAAGATATATCTCAGATGGAAAGT